GCCAAGGGGCATTTAAACAAAAATCAGCATCTTATCCGGGTGGCTGTCTTTGCTGGGCCTACGGGGTCAAACAAGATCTGTTTAATAAAGTGGAGCAGTGATCAAGTACACAGCGAAACGCGCAACAAACTGGAGTTTCTTGTCGCAGGGGTGACTTGAGAGTTAACCCAGGACTGAGCCGTCTCGTGGCAAAAGGCAAAGCCCTGAACGGATCTAAGGAAAAAGGGAAAGCCGTCTCCCCTGGCTCTGCAATTTTTATTAACTTCTCTGGAAGTGTTTGTCCGTTTGAGCTCAGCATTTCTGGATAACAGTCTGAATTTCCAGTGTTCCGATCAGAAACAGTTCCCTGGAACCTTTAAGACTATAAAATCAAAACCTAATCCCTCCATGCTATGTCAAAGTCCTGGAAATGTACCTAATCATTAGTGATGATCAAACTCGGGATCAAACCTAAAGAGAACTTCAGATAAATTGAATGCAATGCTACTAAAGTACTGGTTGAATAATATATTTATATAAATAATATATGTAGCTACCCTATGAGTTGCACAGTAATAGTACAAAAATAATATATGTAGCTACCCTATGAGTTGCTCAGTAATAGTACAAGAATTGTTGAAGGCATGACATATTATTTTTATATAAAAATAATATGTCATGCCTTCAGCAATTCTTGTACTATTACTGAGCAATTCGTGGGGTAGCTGCATTCATTTTAATATTTAGCAGAAAATCGTCCCCTGTATACATTTAGGATATATTCGTTTTCTAAATCAATGGCTGTCTCTCAAACTTGAAAAGAAAGTCCTTGCCCCAAGGAGCCTACATTCACGATGACTCGATACAGTTCACGACCTCGTTGACCCGCATTTAGACTTATTTAAACAAATTAGCGTCTCCAGGCTCAGTGGACTCGAATTAAATTGGATTCAGCCCGTGTCCTTACCAGGAGCCTGGAGAGAAATGTTTTAAAGAGAGAGAGGTAGAGGTAGAGAAGATTGAGAAAAAGTGAATAAAACGATACACACAGAGGCTTTCTTATTTTCTCTCCTTTTTCTTTCCTCTTTACTGTACATTGAGGTTCAAAGTATTCGCACTGAGGGAGGCAGGGGCGAGAGGGCTTAGGAAGTCCGATTCTTGTTATCAGCATTGAGAAGTATATTATTTTGTGGAGTTCAGAGGGAAGAAGGAAAACAATTTGTTCCTCGTAAACAGTCCCTAATGGCTTGTTTTCGCTTCGCGCCTTCAATTTCCTACCTTCTTTGATGAGAAGCTGATGGGGTAAATATTCTAATCTGATTCAGTTCGCCTCCTGCGGATTGCCAGAATCAATCGTGACAGACCAAGCGTTTTGCAAATCACGGGGACCCGGCTACCGGGAGAGCCTGCCGGCTTAATAAACATCAGGTTTTAAAGGGAAAGGTAGGCAAACCCGCCCTTCCACGGAAGGGCCTTGCAACAGGCAAAACACCGCAGCAACGTCGGGGTTGTGATCGGGGTTGGGCAGACCCTTGGTAGTCAACTCTCTCCGAAAAATAGAGCCCTTTCGTTTGACACGTTTGTCTGAAATGCAATTTAAAACCGAAGTCCGCCTTCTTTGACCCCTCTCCCGTGGGCATTTCATTAAAAACACACACACACACACACAAACCCCTACAGAGGTTCAGCGTTAGAGACAAAACTGTGACTCGTCGTTATTTCTTACAGGTATAACGCCAAGCCGAAGACATCCCAATAGTTTATGGTTTCAAAGAACTGGCGCTGGATCCCACCGATCTTTGTTAGGGCCGTGCACTGCAGAGAAAAACTTCAGCGCGGCCACATCGCGTCGGTTTCACCGGGAGAGTGCAGCGCGACCTTATTAAAATCCGCTTGCTTTGAGATCAGGATCCGGTCCTTGCCTTGATTTCAGGGCCACGGATTTTCAAGCCGAAGGGGGGGGGACTTTGGAGCGAGATCCCGTCGAAGTTTAGAAAGCTAAAGGAATGTGATGCGTGCCTAAGCATACGCACACACTCACACGACCCTACACGCCATCCATAGTATCCTTCAAAATCGTTCGCTCACGGCATAGTTCTCCATCATTGGCGGCAATGAATGTGTCTCAAAATCGGGGAGCCCAGCCTTGCTCGACAGAAAATGCGGGCGGAGGAAGGCAGAAATCCTAAATAAAGCCTCGGGAATGTCCTCTGGAAAAGTATCGGAAGCTAGGATGATTAAAAGGTGAGGGAGCGAAATCGCAGCAGAACGGAACTTTGTACCACCGTGGCGGAAAGCNNNCGAAAAGCAATTAGCACCGTAGTCCCTCCGCCCGCCCCATTTGAACGCGGAGTTTACTCCCGAGTAAACGCGCAAGGCTGCAGCTCGCCGACCCGAAGCCCTTCTTCCCTTGCGCGCCCGCGCAGAGCGGGCGGGCGCGCAAGAGAAGGCGAGAAGGGAGCGAGCGGACCCTCCGTTCATTCCCGGACTGTCCAGTCGCGCGGGCGACTTTCCCAGCGGAGAGCGTGCTTTTGGGTGGTTGCTCTCTTTTCTTGGATCGGGACCGAAGCGGAGGAAACCGCGGCGCGGCGCCGAGGGAGCAAGGCCTTGGGGGCGTCCCGGGCGAGCCGCGTCTGGGCGAGAACATTAACCAGATTAACCCGGACAACAATTAGCGAGGGCGGGCGGCTGCCGGGAGTGAAAGATCAACCCAAATCGCGGAAGAGGGAGGGCCGGGCAAGGAGGTGGAGAAGAAAGGAAGGGATCCCACTAATGGCAAGGATTACGTGAATTTCGCTAATTCTTAATCCTCCGAATTCCGGTTGCTCTTACTCCGAATTCCGGCTGCTCTTCCACACCTCCTCCTCCTTCTCCTCCAG